TGTTGTAGTTCTTTTTACCGGAGTTAAATCAAAAGATTCGAACACCGGGTCGTGTCTCAAGGAAGGTTAGCCGGATTATTTTGTACGATTATTCAAGCACAGAAATGGAAAATAAAAGAAGTGAAAATCCTAAACATTCTAAATCAAGTTTGGAGATTTGATTATCGTCTACTAATTTGAAAAGCAAGTGATTGAACAGGGCAAGCAAACTAGGAATCACAAATTTAATATATAAAGAAGGAGCTAGGGTATCGGGGTCGATCAATTCCGGTTCTCAAAACACTTAACGAGCAATTAAGAGCTCGGTTGGACGTTTCGCTAAACTACTCATCTAGAGGTCTTTCCTCAATAACTCTTCGTAACAAGAGGATAGACATAAATAAGCAATTCTTGAAGCAATCAACACATAAGCTATACTATTACGAACAAGCTTATTCCTAACGAGCCTAGATCGAACGATTTCTCCCTTTTCAGTTTTAAAATCGATTAGATAGATCAAGATGGTGATCAATCATCAAAACCCTAAATTAAGCACAACTCGAGAGGATTGAGCAGTTATCATGCATATAAATGAAATCAAACCGGAACGATCTTCCCTTCAACCCTAGCTAAAGGATTTAGCTACTCATAATGCATTCAACTCCAACACACATAATAATCAAAGCCATTCACTCAATAAGAAGATGAAACGAAAGCTTACGATTGAATAATCCAATGTTGAATACACGAATAACTGAATCCACAAGCTTAATCTTTGGTGTTTTCACAATCCTAGATCAAATCCTATGAAGAACTAAGAGAAAAACTGTTTTTGGAGTGAATAATAATGAGAGAGGAACTAAACCTAGGTGAAAAAGTCAATGAAAAACTGATAAAACGCGCATCATAAAATTCCTGCTGTCGCGACCTCCGCGGCCGCGACTTCGCCCTCCGCGGCCGCGGCGAACAACATCTCGCGGCCGCGACTTCCTCCGCGGCCGCGACCTCAGCGAGCCAGAAACTAGAATTTACGTGCATCTCGCGGCCGCGACTTCCTCTTCTCCGCGGCCGCGGCGAACAAATTCAGAATGTTGGTTTTTGGATTCGTTTTCTCTCAGCCGGACTCGGAATTTGACCCCGTCTTCTCCAGCACGATCCCAACACATCCATCTAGACAGTGGACCTCGCATATCCATGCACCGAGCCACCAAACCTGCACATCACCACCGACAAGAAATACGGAAAACGGGAAAAACGAACAAAAAGACCAAAATCGACTAAAACAAAGGATATGCGCGAGACGACTCGAAACGGACCAAAAACCAAAGAAAAATACCTAAGTAGGGGAAAAACAAGCATGAAATAAACAAAGAAAACATGACAAAAGTGGAACGAACATGTGGTAATAGATCTCCGCAAGCTCGCTCTCGACCTTCAATAAATTTTCCCTAATTCTAGTTAAAAAAAATTGAGTAATTGCCACCGCAATTGATTGTTGGATGAGCCGATTGGATGTATTTGCAAGCGAATTGAAGAAGCACCTAGAGGTGGAGATTGGGTTGGAGCCACGTGAACAATGGCTAATTTGCCGGGGAAAGGACCGATGTCGGCTGCCACGACTAGCATCTTCGCGCAGACACCAGCTCTAGCCGAACTCTCTCACCCATGTCCGGCCACAACCGATGTCCTTGCGTTGTGCAGCCTCTCCGTTCGTCATGCTGGTGATGGCATCTATACCGCCATGTGCGATGGTGCTGGCGCTGGTGGTGGTGATGATTAGGGCGACGGTGCAGGTGGACTGGCTGGCAGCGGAGGTGCAATATTGAAGGAGAGAAAGGACGAAGAAGGAGAGAGAACTGTGGGTAGTTGGGGTGCGCCCTATAGCTAAATAGGGTGGTGGGTGTGTAGTGGTGGTAATGTAGTTAAATGATATCCGTTTGATACAATATATTTAGTGGCTACAATTTTTCTTGTATTAAGGCTCATTCTCTTATTAAGACCCATTCTGATCACCAATATTCATATATATCTTCGATCAAAACCGAGAAATCTTTATCCAACGAACCCACTTATTTTTATTTTTACCATCGTGGTATACCCAAGTGATCTAGAGCTTGTTTTTGTGTACGTACAAGATCATGCGCCCTAAAGAAAATTAAAAATTAAAATTCAAACAAAGACACACTCAAATGTGGCATGTGGTGAGACAATTGGGTCATAATTCCACTCAATCTATGACATCAAAAGTAATAGTATGAAACAGGTAGAAACAATATCCACCCACATTCCAATCAACATCATATATCCCACCTCCCTATATAAATTGGACCCCAAACCACACACTTTCCCTCACACATCCACTCCCCTTTTCTCCTAATTAGTCCTCATCAAA